GTGATTATCTGTAGCCCCATCCTTCTGTTGTGTAAGTGGTCCCATCCTACTATTCTTTTAGTGATTATCTGTAGCCCCATCCTTCTGTTGTGTAAGTGGTCCCATCCTTCTGTTGTTTTAGTGATTAACTGTAGCCCCATCCTTCTGTTGTGTAAGTGAATAACACTTTTTGGTTTTTTCAGCCTGCAGTGAATTCCTTATTCCTCTGTTTTCTCTTCAGGTGTTTAACTTTAGAGAATATAATATATCATCGACGCCTACGTGAACAGAAACTCAGAACTCGGTGATTCTGCTTTCAAAATTTATCTTTTTCCTGGTAGTTATTTTTTCATGGGAATTACCGCGTGCATTGCCGTGTCCATCAAGAACGATAAACTAGTGAATCAATAATGAGATGTTTTATTATTAAAAAAACACATCAAGCTATAAGTATTCTAAATGAATATATATATATATATATCAACTATATTGTTTCAGGGTAAATTTCTTGTTTTCCTACTTTTAAACAAAAAAGTAAAGAAGGGTTTAATTCCTTAGAAGTTAACGGAAAATGGTTGACATCCTTCTTGCGATACCCCTCCTAACTCCCCGCGCTTTCTCTCCTCCCCCAGTGAAGAAAAATAGCTTTTATTAAGCTCTTCTAAGAGTTATACATTAAATTTCGTAGTTAATAACGTTGTGGTGAATTGCTAACAATGGAAGTATATGCGCTGCTCTGATTGGATGATTCCGCCAGTTCTTGGTGCTGACATTTGAATGGAAATGACAAGTGTAGGGAAATAATTAATTGAAAGTTTTCTAACTTATTAGTCTTTGAATGCTGATGAATTGAACGTTTTCCGACTTATTAGACTTTGAGTGCCAGGCACTCACTGCCTATAAGTGAGCGTGTTGATTTATGGTCGGAGGGCCTAGGGTTCGAGACGCGATGACACTTAACGCGCTCCCCCTACTCGACTCGTTGGATCGAAACTCGACGACGAACATTCACGCCCTTTGAAACTTGGGGGCGTAATAATGTTCGATCAATTCTAATATTCGTTGGTATATGGTAGCCCAAGAGTTGGCGGTGAAGGTGTTGACTAGCTGCCCTCCCTCTAGTTTATCACTTCCAAATTAGGGACGTCTAGCCCTCGAAAAAGTAGGATATTTTACTAAAAATTTGGCCGAAAACAAATAATGAAACATATAATCGAAAAAGCACATAAAGCGCAGTAGTAAATATTAGTAAATAGTTTAGCTACATTAGTTGAGCTGATTTCAACACAACATAGTAAGTATTAGTAAACAGTTTAGCTACATTAGTTGATCTGATTTCAACACAACATAGTAATTATCAGTAAACAGTTTAGCTACATTAGTTGAGCTGATTTCAACACAACATAGTAATTATTAATAAACAGTTTAGCTACATTAGTTGATCTGATTTCAACACAACATAGTAATTATTAGTAAACAGTTTAGCTACATTAGTTGATCTGATTTCAACACAACATAGTAATTATTAGTAAACAGTTTAGCTACATTAGTTGAGCTGATTTCAACACAACATAGAAAAGTATTAGTAAACAGTTTAGCTACATTAGTTGAGCTGATTTCAACACAACATAGTAATTGTTATTAAACAGTTTAGCTACATTAGTTGAGCTGATTTCAACACAACATAGTAATTATTATTAAACAGTTTAGCTACATTAGTTGATGAAACGTTATTTTTACTTCACAGCTATTTTAACCTTCTCTAACCTTTTTACTTATTTCAGACCTTATACACATCCTGCCATTATTTTCTGTGATCCACACACTATTAGAACATTTTCATTGAAATCAGCTGTTCCCAAACGTTTTAGTGCGCGGACCATCTGATTTGTTTTCCCTTCTGATGACGACTCGACGCAGTGTAATTTCATAAACAAAATCAGCACATAAAAATCACTATAATATTAATATTAACCACAACTTATGATTCTACGTTTTAATGAGATGAGTGCCTATGTTTTGCAATATTAAATATATTGTTCGCCAGTTTTAGCTTCGGCTCAGGTTCAGCATTCATCCTGGTTCCGTATTTGGACTTCAGACTCGCAGTTAATGAAGATAAACCAAACCCATCTTCCACAAGTACGTAGTAGCAGAAGAATTGCTTTGTCTGAGAAGTTCTGGGTTCTCGCATGTTCTTTGAATCCCAAAACTTTAACAGTGAATTTATTTTCAATTATGACCTTAATATTTCGACACAAAAACCTCCAACAAGCGCTCTTCTTCATTCCTAGAAAAACCAGCATGCGAGTCATTATTTTACAATGCGCGAAAACTCCCAAGTGAAGAACAGACTTTCCCGCTTTATTTTAAAAGTCATATAACATAGAGTTTTATAAATTTACTTCTTAATATACACATATTCTTCCTGCTTATACAACTGAATTTCTAATGTATCAAGTGTCGGGTTTTCTCCGGGTTCTACAATTTTTGTAATTATAGAACCTTTCTGCGGATCACCTGAATGGAGCTCGCAGACTACTAGTGGTCCTCGAACCACAGATTGGGAACCTCTGATCTAAATGACAATGATATAGGCTTCTATTGCTTAGGAATTAAATAACGTCTACGCTCTAGGGGTAATTTTTCTGGAATATAGAAGAAATTATGGAAACGATGTCCTCTTAGTGTTTCGTTAAGGTCAGTTACAACTTTTTTGTTTCCAGGGCAGAAGGAGGAGAACTCCAGCGACTTTTAGATGATGACGAGATGTTTGAAGAATCTCAAGTGATTCACGTGATTATCCAAGTTCTAGAAGCTCTCTCATTTCTCCACGGTTTGAACATTGTTCATTTAGATATCAAGGTCAGTTTCACTGTTATAGTTTATTTGTAACGTTCACAGAATCTAAGTTTTTTATTTCTACCTGTACGAAAATAATGAAATCGTGCATGCGCTTTTGTGTGAGAACTAAAGCTCACTGCTATTATGATAACATAGAAACACTTGTGGATTTTACCACCACTGGTAAGGCACACCTCCCCCCCCCCCAAAAAAAAGAAGAAAAAAATGAACATTCGTCACTGTGTATTATCCAAAACACGTGGCAAGAGAACCGAAAAACGCACTTTATAGTTACATGATAATAATGCAAAACTTATCACCACATCATAAGTATAAAGCTACATTGTCCGCAGCATGCACATTATACGTTACTATAATGCAACATTTATCCCAAATTAAATCTACATTGTCCATAATACTCACGTTGGTATATAATGCAACATTTATCACCAACCCATTTTAAATATAAGGCTAAATTCCCATAGTGCGCAACTTATACGTTACTATAATACAATATCTATCACTAACCCATCACAATATTGGGTCATATTCCCTATAAATGGCTTCTAATACGTTACTGTAATACAACATTTATCACCAACTCACAAGAACAAGAATACATTCCCTATAAACTTCAGAATTTGTTACATATGTTGATCATTGAATCACATGAAAAACTCGAAGTCAGTTTGATTTAGCATTGAAGAGTCCTTAGTGTGAAAATTGCACTCCCAACATTGTGTTTTCCAAAAATATGGTGTAAACGTTCAACATTTCTCCCATTTATGTTTGCAATGATGATACTCGAACTCTATAATTTACTAAGACTGGCAAAGTGTCATTTAAATAGATAACATAAAACTCGATTGTACTGATATAATTTACCAAGATTAGCACTAAGTAATTTAAGTAGATAACATAAAACTCGATTGTACTGATATAATTTACCAAGATTGGCAAAATGTCATTTAAGTAGATAACATAAAACTCAATTATACTGATATAATTTACCAAGATTAGCAAAATGTCATTTAAGTAGATAACATAAAACTCTATTGTACTGATGTAGTTTATCAAGATGGGCATCGTGTCATTCGTGTAAATAACATAAAACTCAATTATATTGACGTAATTTACCAAGACTGGCAAAGTCTAGTTCGAGTATGTAAAATAAAAACTTTAAAAAAGAATTGTTTTAATTAACCTAACTGGTAAATATTCGTGAATAACTTATGAATACTTTATGAAACTGATTTTAAAAAGAAAAAAATCGTCAGATTTGGGTTTACTGTACTTGGTTCGTTTTTTTAGCCTCAAAACATACTATTGACTGGCTCTTTTCCACAATGTGACATCAAATTGTGCGATTTCGGCATTTCACGGTTAGTTTCAGAAGGCATTGAAGTGAGAGAGATAGTAGGAACTCCAGATTACGTAGGTGAGTCACCTTTCTATTTCACAATATTTCCATTAGTCTTTGTTAAGGCCAGTTAAGTAGAAACATTAATTAACAATTACTTTCATGTTATGGAAACCACCCATGAATTAACAAAAAAAACTTTAGAATTTTTTAGAGGATATAGGGTTTATCAATGCAGTTGTTATGAAATAGGAAACACTAGTAGCTTTCGTACAGGTAACAAAAATATTTGCAACTATGAAGATAATGCGATTAGGAGTTAAGAAGAACAAATAATGACATTAAGTTGAAATAAAGAAGCTTAGTGCTTACAAGATGAGTGGAAGAGGGGTTGGTATGTCTTTGTTTTGTCTACATCAAATCTAAGCATCAGGCTCAGCGCCAATTTCTCAATTATATAATGTTGAACAAGTTTTTGGTCACAGTTTTGAGTCAACGTTTCACATGGAGGGCACTGACAGGAAATCGTTTTGTAGATTTAACATTATTAAAATAAAATATGTTTACATTAACAGTTTCTGTCTTATTTTAGTAACACCACTGTAGGTCTAAGTAGAAAACAGGGCCCTCTAGAAATAAACTACACCGCAGCTTCTTTGCAGTTCCTTATTTAGAATGTTACATTTAAAATCTATTATACATTTTATATGTTACATAAGATGTTTGGTGTAGTGTTAGAACAATTGAATCAAACAATATCAAATAATTTCTTCTTTTACTGAAGGTATTCTTTGCCATTTGTCGTGTTCATTTGCACCATCTTGATGTTTCAAAGTGTGTGTGGGGGGGGGGTATCTTGGCCTTACCCACCTCAGCCACTGCGGAGCCTCCCAGAGTGTTCGGCAGTTTAACAACAACAAAAAATGTATGGAAATTTTACTACGGAATGATGCAGTTCGTCCATTAATGATCCATCATCATGATGGGCCCTAGACAGCTGCCTTACTTGCCTTGCCTTAAGGCTTATTCTCTTAATGATTTCTTAATTATATAATTCATACTTATAAAGTTGCACTAAAGTTATAAAAATTCAATAAGAAAGCTTCTAAATTTGCTATAAAAGTACATAGTTTTAGTTAAACATGTGTCGTGTCATGAAAAAAGTGAATGAACTTACCTAGGCTTCAATCTTTCCTCTAATATTAAATTTCACGTGTGTCGTTTATTGAAGTTTTTCTACGTCAATAAAACTAAATATTTGTCTATATTAAATGGGAATTTCAGGTTGAGCCTTAGTTTCTCTAGTTGTAGAAGCTGAATTAATTGGATTGTTGAGTGAATCATAGGCCCCCTAACCGAGGGAGCAGAAAGGGCACGTGCCAACCCATTTTGAATTTTTTTACCAAAAAACATTTTCACGCCTCGCTCCCTCTCGGGTTCTCCCTTACACTTGTCTCCATCTTTTAACAAAGTTATGCGCACGTGGATAGAATCACATATATAAACTACATTCCATAAGAATGTTTTTAAAACTACATATATAGATTGTGATAAACACTTAAGAATTTTCAGTCATGTAAACAATACTATTCATAATCTTTAAGGCATAACTGAACAACATAATAATAAGTTGAAACAATTTAAACATCGGCCAATTGCTTCATTCTGTACAGCTTTTTAATCTTAATTCTGGCATTTCAATAAATTAGGCCTATTTTTTAACCTTACTAGGCATGTGATGGTGTAATATGTTCTACTTGACTTTCATAGATGCGATCAAACTAGACATAAATTAAGAAGTTTGAGATGTTGCTGCTAAGTATAGGATTATAATGTAGTGTGTCACTTAAACCATTTCATCAGGATTAATTCGAGAATTTTCTGCTGTATTATTACAGTAAAAGATGGCTAGAATGTTTATTACTACTGACGTCTCTGCGCAGTATCTATTTATATGTCGAAGTGTATACGATCAGCATTCATCAAGAAAATCCATGCACCAATATATCAATATAAAAATTTACCAGTAGGATAGCATCACATATTTAGAGTATTTATCTTTGTAGGTTACTAAGTTTATTTGAATATTCAACTTTAAGAATAGGGTTTTACAGATATTATTTTGAAACCAAGGTACGGCCCTGAAAGTGGATAGGCCGGGTATCGCCTAGTGGTTAGCCTGTCGGTTGCGAATCGAAAAGTCCAAGATTCGAGACGTGATGTCTCTGAACACTCTCCACACTTTCAGCTGTAGGCGTGTTATAAAAGTGACAGTGAATCCCGTTATTCCCGTTTTATGTATTGGGTCTATAATTGTAATGATAATTTTCAGCATCACAACACAATCAAGAGTATGGCATATTATATATAAATGCTGATGTTATTTATTAAATTATATGTAAAGAAAACTTAATTGTATGTATTGTAAGAATTCTCTAATGTTGAACTGATTTTCTGGCACTGTCCTGATTTAATATGGATTTTTTTTTATGTATAGCCTCACCAACTCAGGCCCCCCAGTGGCACAGCAGTATGCCTGCGGATTTACAACGCTAGAATCCGGGTTTCGATACCCGTGGTGGGCAGAGCACAGATAGCCCATTGTGTAGCTTTGTGCTTAGTTACAAACAAACAAACAAACACCAACTCATGAATGTATTTAATATATTCTTTTTTCTTTAAATAAAGTTCATGGATGAACTCAATCTTGAATCAGCAGATAACTTTAATATGTTTTTAATATAACAATATAAGCACGTGAACATTTTCAACATATACACATTAAAGTATAAATACATCAATGGATTTCTTTACGCAGAACACACAACAGACATTTCAGTTTAACTTAATATCCCGAACAAAATCTAGGATATTTTTACATTAATTTTGATGTTATTGGTTATAACGAAAAGCAGGCCATATCATTGAAACATCTAATGTTGTTTTGTTAAGGTTTATTCTGCGGATGATGGATATTGATAAGAATTATAGATGGCAGTCATACATCTGAAAACATCCTAGTGATGGTGACCTCCATAAAATATATTGATATTATCTATCACTACCTATAAAGAGATTAATAGCTTTATTCATCTTTACTTTCCCAGAAAGTTTAATCACTCTTTATTTCAAGTTCCCATTATTTCGCTGGCTTTCCGAATTCAAATAACAGGCCCACTGAAATAAAGTAACGTTCAAAGCTAGCTAGTGCCTTCTTCCCTGGCGGAGAATAGTTAATTTCAGTACCCCAAACCATTGCCAAGTATGATCTTGTCTGACTGCCAGCATGGCTCCAACGTGCCGAATAGATCTCTTTATTTTCAGCTTATGACCAAATTCTAGATCAAGGATTCTATTATTTTTAACTTAATTTAAAAAATCAACCTTTAATGTTTATATACACATAAAGTCAGTACATTTTAACACTAAAACAAATAATGTTGATATATGTATTATCATACGAACATTACTACCTAACTTATTATTTTAAATCATCGTTTTTCAATTATACAGCTCCAGAGATTCTTCAGTATGAACCAATCAGTTTCGCCAGTGACATGTGGTAAGTATAGTTAAACCTACCATAATGTTCTTGTATTGAGCTTGTGTACATGTACAATTATGTCATGAAACTTTTTAAAAAACTAAACCACCAGATTACCCGTTTTCTATTTCAATATTCTATTTTAATTTCATTTTATTTGACTGAATCGTTCTTTTTTAAGCTCCAGAGTTACAAAAAATACAGAAATTAATTTTACAAGGCTTAGGTGAATCAGCGTTTACCATTTTAAACTTAAATTATTATAAATGTTAAGTACTTGGAATTTGGCTTACAATATGTGAGCTTATATGGTTTTGGATGGGTTATTAATCTGATTTAGACAAAACTGATTTTCTTGAACGACTTTTTATTAACTTTGATCCTCAAGATTTTTCAATGCTGATCATTTAAACATCATAACTTCAAACATTTCGAACGCTCTGTCAAGACTTTTTTTTTTTTTGCAAACACAGGTGTAAATACATTTAATCTTTAAATATGGCCTAACTAGTTTAAAGGGTGAGAGCATTCGTCAAAAAATAATAAATTGCAAATGGTAAAATTATAAGTTTTGTCCCTGTGATTCTTTTTACTGAAAAGTAATTTTGAAATGATTTTGTCATGGGGAAAATATGGTAGAATTTGACGTAGTTTTGGTTTCAGGAATGTGGGCACTTTATGTGTTTATATATTTCAAAATTCTGAACGCATCGAAGTGTGACTTTATTTTTCTGAGTTGAGAGTACCCAAACCTTTGGTATTTTGTAATTTCAGGAGTATAGGGGTTCTGACGTATGTCCTTCTTTCTGGTTATACACCTTTTGGTGGAGCCACCAAGCAGGAAACCTTCTGTAATATTACTAAAGGTACCCTAGAGTTCCCAGAAAAGATGTTTCAAGAAGTTTCTAACCATGCCAAGGATTTCATCAAAAAACTGTTAGTGCAGAATCAAAGGTACTAAGTAGTCTTTTGTTGTTCTTTTTTATATTTGTGGCATGAAATATATCTCAGTATTCAATCTTACGTCGAATAAAGTTAATAATGTCGGAAATAAGCTAAGTATTTGCTTTTTTTAATATAATAGTATGTTGTGTGATTTTATAAGATCCTTGAAGCTTAACAATCTTACCAAGCATGTTACAACAGATAACTTTCTGTCTGACTTCAATCTTTCCCCCCTTTTGCTTGCAGGAGCAGCTAAATAGGTTACTTGAAAACAAGACACTTGACAGTCCTATTTATTTCATATGGCTTATTACCAAGTGAAATGTCCTTCTCCTGAAACTAGTCTAAAATAGAATTCCAATGTTAAACTACAATCCTAGCTAAATAACTTTACCATTGGAATGTATACCAGGCTTCATTCACCTCTACTTCAATATTTTCACTATATCATTTCAGATCATTTTTGATAAACAAGAAAAAAATATTTTTGTTTGTTTTCTAGACAGAGGATGCTCCCAGAAAATTGTCTTAAACATCCGTGGATTGCACCTAACTCTGAAGAAATTTCGAGGCAAAACCTTTCTTCAAAAACTGAAAAAATTGAATTCAAATCAACACCTGACGAAAACAGGAATTATATGGTTAACTCATATACTCAAAATAAAGGTGACTTACTACAACAAAACTACTTTGAAATTGAAGTACTTCCACCAGAAAATGTTGTACGGAAAACATCAGCTGAACAACAACAACAAACGCCCTACGAAGTTATAAACGTAGAAGAAGAAACAGAGCAGAAAGAAGAATCTAGTAATATAACAGAGTGTAAACAGCAAGTGTCTATTATTCCTGCAGAAACAGTCATAGATCAACCATTTCTGAAAGATATAATAAGTTTACCAAGGTACCAACCCCCAGTTGTTCCAGCGGGAAAAATGGAGGAAAATCAACTGTTACAGAAAAATATTTTTCTTCCTGAACATGGTGAATTAGTAGAGAAAAAGTTATCACCTAAAGACGTAAATGTTTTACATAATTTCAAACACGAGGGTGCTGTACTTTCTCTAGATACAGTGGAGGAACACTTATCACCATACGAAAGAAAGCTTTTACAAAAGCACGAACCTTCTGCACTACCAGTGGAAGCGGTAGAAGAAAAAACATTAGTTCAAAACAAAAATAAGCTACCTAAAGGATCATCGCTACCTGGAGAGATAATGAAGAAACAGGAAGAAAATATTTTATGTAAGCACAGAGTGTCTCTACCTCCAATGGAAACAAAGGAAAATAAGCCACTTTTAAATGACGGAAAGATTCTGACTGAGCCCAAAGTCTCTACACTTTCAGTGGGAACAGAAGATGGCCAGAAATTGTTCGAAGATATGTTACCTAGACGCAAAGTCTCGGTACTTCCGGTGGAAACAGTGGATGACCAGTCATTACCTAGACACAAAGTCTCGGTACTTCCGGTGGAGACAATGGATAACCAGTTATTACCTAGACACAAAGTCTCGGTACTTCCGGTGGAAACAGTGGATGACCAATCATTACCTAGACACAAAGTCTCGGTACTTCCGGTGGAAATAGTGGATGACCAGTCATTACCTAGACACAAAGTCTCGCTACTTCCAGTGGAAACAGTGGATGACCAGTCATTACCTAGACACAAAGTCTCGGTACTTCCGGTGGAAACAGTGGTGAACCAGTCATTACCTAAACAAAAGTCTCGGTACTTCCGGTGGAAACAGTGGATGACCAGTCATTACCTAGACACAAAGTCTCGGTACTTCTGGTGGAAACAGTGGATGACCAGTCATTACCTGGACACAAAGTCTCGGTACTTCCGGTGGAAACAGTGGGTGACCAGTCATTAACTGGACACAAAGTCTCGGTACTTCCGGTGGAAACAGTGGATGACCAGTCATTAACTGGACACAAAGTCTCGGTACTTCCGGTGGAAATAGTGGATGACCACTCGTTGTTACATAAAGAAATGGTATTACCTAGACATAAAGTACCTCTACTCTTAGGAGAAACAGTAGACGATCTGTCATTGTTTCATAAAGAAAAGCTATTGCGTAGACATAAATTATCTTTACTTTCAGAACAAACATTAGATGACCAATCATTGCTTCATAGGAAAAAAATGATACCCAGACACAAAGTCTCGGGACTTCCAGAGGAAGGAGTAGATGAACAGTCATTGTTTTATAAGGAAAAATTATTACCTAAACATAATCGCTCTCTATTTCCAGTGGAAACAGAAGATGACCTTTCCTTATTCCATAATGAAAATATTTCACCTAGACAAAAAGTCTCTCTGTTTCCGGTGGAAACACCAGAAGACTTACCTTTATTACAGAAAACATCAATTTTATTTCCAAATCTACGACATCAAGAACTGCCGGAAGAGATACCAGTGACACAAAACAACACGTTCCTGTCACACTGGCATGAGAAACTGCTGAAAGATTTGCCTACAATAAGGCCACTTGTCGAAGAATACCATCGAAACTTCCAGAAATCGGCAAAGAAGCTCCTGGAGATGCCATCGTTATTTGAAGACTACGTACACTTCTCCAGCTTTGAATCCACTTCTCAGGGTGCAAGGACCATCTATATGAGAGACGAAACTGTTCTTTGTTGTAACAAACCTAATCTAAACAACAAGCTAATGATCAATGATGAAGCCTTTCTGAAAAACAAGATGCATAACATGTTATTCTAATATTTTGTCTTCATATGACATAATTCAAGAAAATAAACAAGTAAAGGCTACATTTTTCTAAGGAAATCACAGTTTAGTTTCATTCGATGCAACCTAAAATATAAAATGAATTGCATTTTTCTTTTCATGGAAAGTCAAAAAGAGCAAGTCATTTTTTACACTAGCAATTAAGTGGTAAAAAATAGCACAATTAATTAAGAAGTTAGTAACTTGTAACTTATTTGAATCATTTAAAACTTACGTCTTAGAAACACTGTATATAAATTTTAAGAAATAGTTGTTCGTGAAAATAAACTCACATTATTGCTCATTAATAATAATGCATTAAATTATTGAATGAAATTAATTTTTCTGACACAAAAAGTGCTAAAGAAAAGTTTACAGCTAGAAATTTTTTTCTAAAAAACAAGATGTCCAGTAGAAGCTTTCTTAAAAACTTGTAGTATGTTAGAAGCTCTATGCAAGAAATAATGTGTAATATCAGTATTGTTAGTACTGGGACATATAATTTGATAAATTCTCATTGCTGTTGTATTAAATTTACTCTCACGTCAATAATCTGCTCAATTAGGTAATCTGCTGTATCGAGATTATTTACACAGAACTAATCTGGTATATTAAAGAGTATAATATAATCTATCAGGATTAATTTCACAGAGATGATCTGAGATATCAAAGAGTATGATCTAATCCATCAGGATTACTTTCACAGAGATTATCTGGTATATCAAATAATATGATTTACTTTAATGTATCAAGATTATTTCCACGTGGATAATCTGTTGTTTCAGGAATACTCCAATAATGATAATATCCGATATCGGGATTACTCCTACGGCAATAATCTGTTATATGAAGATTGCTATGAAATTTAAAATAATTAAAACAGTAACTTAATTTATGTGAGATAAGGTATTGCACTGTAATGATGGAGTATAACAAGTTAGGTTATAAATTAAAAACATCGAAATTAGCTGTTTTATGAGCGAACAAGAGTTGCAAGCTAATGTTGTGTTTTTGTTTAATAAATTCTAGCGACAGTGTTTTTTATATGAATTAATAACTTTCGCATAACTTATATTTTATCTAATTTGGTTTCTCGAAAGGATTTAAAAAATGTAGGAATGGCAATCATGTCAACCTCGAAATATACATAGATGTTTCCAGCAGTGGACAATCCGTAACCTATAGTTTCTATAAAGCCATAAAACATGCAGTATTCGTTACATAGGCTACAAGATAAATGTTGTTTGAAGCTGGTGGAGTTCTGTATGAATGGTGGCTAGTTACTTCACGAAAATCTTGGCTATATTAAAATACATGCCGGTTTTGTTATATAGACTACAAGATAAATGTTGTTTGAAGCTGGTGGAGTTCTGTACGAATGATAGCTAGTCACTTCACGATATTTATGGCTATGTTAAAATACATGCCGGTTTTGTTATATAGATTACAAGATAAATGTTGTTTGAAGCTGGTGGAGTTCTGTACGAATGATAGCTAGTCATTTCATGATAAACATGGTTATATTAAAATACATGCTGGTTTCGTGATATAGACTACAAGAATAATGTTTTTTTAAGCTGTTGAAGTTCTGTGTGAATGATGGCTAATCAGCTCACGATAATCATGGTTATATTAAGTGACGTGAACAGCATTTATTAAAGTAGTTACATCAGCTTTAGATCTGTGTCCTTTTGTGAGTCACTACCGTAACAGTGACTGTGGCTGTAATAATTGAGCCCTGTGGGCTTCGAATAACTTCCATAGTTTGGACCAAATGCTTACAGCTAGATTCCATTTGACCTGAGCAACTTTGTCTCTTTACTCTCCGAGATCTTATTTCAAAATTTTGAAGTATAAGAATTAAAAACAACGACTGAAACCTGCGACATTTCGAACATTAGTACGATAAAAGCTACAGCATATCTAGAAGATTGTTCAGGAGACTGGTACAATAAAGGTAGTTTATCAGGAGACTGGTACAATAAAGGTAGTTTATCAGGAGACTGGTGCAATAAAGGTAGTTTATCAAAAAGATCAGGAGACTGGTACAATAAAGGTAGTTTATCAGGAGACTGGTACAATGGAGGTAGTTTATCAGGAGACTGGTACAATAAAGGTAGTTTATCAGGAGACTGGTACAATAAAGGTAGTTTATCAAAATATAAGGAGACTGGTATTGTAAAGGTAGATTATTAAAAAGATCAGAAGACTGGTACAATAAAAGTAGTTTATCAGGAGACTGGTACAATTAAGGTTGTTTATCAAAAAGATCAGAAGACTGATACATTAAAGGTAGTTTATCAAAAAAAGATCAGGAAACATACAATAAAGGTAGTTTATCAAAAGATCAGGAGACTTATACAATAAAGGTAGTTTATCAAAAGATCAAGAGACTGGTATTGTAAAGGTAGATTATTAAAAAGATCAGGAAACTGGTACAATAAAGGTAGTTTAACAAAAAGATCAGGAAATTGGTACAATAAAGGTAGTTTATTCTAAAATCAGGAGACTGGTACAATAAAAGTAGTTTATTGAAAAGATAAGGAGACTGGTACAATAAAGGTAGTTTATTAATAAGATCAGGTGACTGGTACAATAAAGGTATTTTATAAGGAAGTGAGAAATTTCGCAAATACGGAGGTTGGTACCAAATTACAATCACTTCGACGTCCAGTAAACGACTACCCAGTTCAGAATTGTGTTAGGAGAAAGGTGGCTTACTGCATGGTTCAAGATGCTGGTCTGATAGAGATGATATACTATAAAGCTCAGGAAAGCGACTTTTAGGCGCAGTTCAGAATATTGACTTCTTTAAGGAAAATTCCCTTCCCAATTCGAATAAAAATGTACAGTAAAAATAGTAAACTAAACAGAAAAGAGAACTGGTTCGATAAATGGAGCTTATTTCACAGTTCAAACTACATTAAACTGGTTCATAAAGTTAGCTAACTACATAGTTAAGGCGACTGTTCAAAGACTGCAGCTTACTTTACAACTCATTAAACTGGTTCATAAAGTTAGCTAACTACATAGTTAAGGCGACTGTTCAAAGCTTGCAGCTTACTTTACAACTCATTAAACTGGTTCATAAAGTTAGCTAACTACATAGTTAAGGCGACTGTTCAAAGATTGCAGCTTACTTTACAACTCATTAAACTGGTTCATAAAGTTAGCTAACTACATAGTTAAGGCGACTGTTCAAAGATTGCAGCTTACTTTACAACTCACGGAAGTTGTTCATAAAGTCAGCTAACTACATAGTTAAAGTGACTGTTCAAAGATTGCAGCTTACTTTACAACTCATTAAACTGATTCATAAAGTTAGCTAACTACATAGTTAAAGTGACTGTTCAAAGATTGCAGCTTACTTTACAACTCATTAAACTGAAATGAGTTGTAAAGTAAGCTGCAATCTTTGAACAGTCACTTTAACTATGTAGTTAGCTAACTTTATGAACCAGTTTAATGAGTTGTAAAGTAAGCTACAATATTTCAACAGTCGCCTTAACTATGTAGTTAGCTAACTTTATGAACCAGTTTAATGAGTTGTAAAGTAAGCTACAATATTTGAACAGTCGCCTTAACTATGTAGTTAGCTAACTTTATGAAAACTTGTTCATAAAGTTAGCTAACTACATAGTTAAAGTGACTGTTCAAAACACTTGTTTGCTTTATACAGTTCATAAAACTGGTTAAAACAGTTACCTAACTACACAACTCCGGTATAACTTGTTTCATCAGTGCAGCTAGCTTCGTGACTCAGATAATTGATCTAATGAAGTTAATTTATTACAAACTTCTGTAAAATGTTCAGGTAAAGAAGTTTGCGCTTACTGCGCTTTACTGTACTTACGTAATAAAGTAATATAGCACAAAACCTCAGATAGTCTACTGTTTAGAACTTTCAAGACTATCGTGATAAATTCAACTTTTAGATCTTAAAAAGATTATATATATATATATATATATTGTGCACATATTGTGAAATCAGACATTTCGAGAAATGACTCCAAAATGTACACACACACACATATATATATATATTTCAACTAAGTGGGTTTTTGAAAGATTGAACAAGACAAAACGGTAAAAAACGATATGTTGCTTAAACTATAGACGCAGATTTATAGCAGCGTTTTCTTTAACTGTTTCTTTATTTTGTTATTCAGGTCTATGGAA